TCCACCCCTTAACTGGTAGTTGTAGCTGTTCCCAACCATAATAGCTTACACACCAGGTGCATATAGTTTAAGGCCTTATGTAAAATCCCCTTCATAAGCCCACCTTAAACCACATAATTGCATGTCACATTTGAACCAGAACGGCACCGACTGGACGTCGCCCAGAGACGACCTTCGCTGGAGGCGACCTGCAATCCTGACGTTGGTCTCCGCTCTTCATCCAGTGGCCGCATCTTCAGTTCAATCCAAGGGTACCCCTCTGTATGCTGATTAATCAACACTTCCAATCGTTGTGGATTTACCGACGACGTTATGGAATTATAATCAACACAATGGAATTACCAAGAACATTGTGGATTACTTTTGATTTTTGTTTTCCTTGCTGGATTACTTTTGACTTTTGTTTTCCTTGCTGGATTACTCTTGACTCTTGTTTCTTTGCTGGATTACATCAAGCTTCAAGGACAATCGAAGGCGTAAGTTCATGTTTGGAATTCATCCCCATGGACAGGTGATGATTTCCAAAGGGGGCACTGTAGTGAACTTAACCTGATGTCAAAACTAAGCCTAAGGTCAAAACCCTTGACCTTAAGAACCTTGTGGGACAGAAACTGTCATTTCATTGATTTGAATCCAGAAATACAGGTTCACCCATCCTGAGACTTTCTTTCTTGAAAATCAAGTGAAAGAACACTCTCTTTTCTATTATCATTACTATTTTACAAATGTTGATAATCAAAGTGTTTTAGTTCAAACCATTTTAGATGTTGCAGTGAACTAATCAATTTTATTAACTGTAAAACAGTAACAATGATTTTTTAGTTGCTTATGCAAAGTAGAATTCATGATTAAGGCCTGTTACAGAGTAATTATGCATTTTCTGATTTCTGTCTTTGAATGAGCAAGTGTGCCTTTTCCAAGGTCAGGAGTCGAAGCAGACATGTGTTGGAACAACTGTCTTGTTTTAAAATCCTCTCAGACGTAAACAGAGGAGTTGGCACCTGTTTCTCCAAACTCGCCAAAACAAAACTCTCTCTGTCTCTGAGAACAGTTTTAATCTGTTCCATAACAATTCTTGCTGTTTTCTGACTTCTAGTAACCTCTTACGTCACAAACCACACCCCTGTCTGGTTGATATTGACCAATCAGGGACTCCCAAATGGACCGGGAATAGAGCTCTTTAAAATGCCGGTACTTCCTGGTTCTCCAGGCTGAGCGCGGAGAAGTTCTGTGATGTTCGCAGTTCTGTGAAGTCGTTTGGGAGAACAGAAGTCCAGCCATGATAAGGCTCTTCCGAGTTTGGATTATAACATCTTCCACCTCTGAGTGGAACTTCTGAAGGACTCCACTCATGTGAAGTCCACTTGCTGAGGTGAGCTTGTGTCGGACGGAATCTCGTCACTACTTCGGACGAGTCACAGCCATCCTATGGAGACGCTGGACAGGTAGCGTTAACCGGAGCTCCTCTTCTTCTGATCCATCATCAGAGAGGTAATGAGTCAAGTTTACTACTAAGCGTACCGAGGAAAAGCTGGGTTCGAATGGAGAGTGTCGGTTCTGGTCAACACTCCCCCTCACACACCATCTTTTACTCCCTTTAAACTTCATTTCCATCTTTAAATTCTTCTCTCAAGTAGAAATCCTTCCAGATAATTTAGAAATGTCTGTGTAAAGTGCTCATCCACCGCGGTGTGGATAATTGATCATAATTGTACAGTTTTCATTAATGTCTGTGGTGAAGCAACGGAAAATCATGGCCGTATGGTTTTCCTGGTTGTAAAGCTGATTAATGATGTTGTTATTTTCATATTTTGCCAAATTAATGTAAATGTTTGATGTTAAACTTTGATTCTGTAAAATAAATGACCACATTCATTTTGATGGGTCAAAGATAAATGACGTCTCACGTTACATTTCATTAAATTCAATGCACGTTTTATTCAGTCCAGAAAAATGAAGAATCCGTTTTAATTGATGAATATATCTCAGCATCTGTTCATCTACATATTGGTGGCCCGTAACGTGCTCATGAATGGACTGTGTATGCATGTAATAATTGATATTTCATGTTGGCATGGAGAAATAGCAGACTGCAGCGTGCTGAAGCTGCGCGCTTGGAGCTAGACGCTGCATGTTTACGCTGGCAATGTTTTGAAGCTGAAATTGTGAGTCATATGTCTTTATGAAAGCTGAAATTGTACGTCTGTTATGTGTAACTAAGCTGGATTTGTGTGGAAACGCTTTATTCTGTTTAAAGACGGTTCAGACGTGGTTCTGGTACCGGCTCGGTTCTGAAAAGGTTCGAACGAGTTGTTTAAATAGCTAGAAAGACGTTTTTGAGACCGGGGCGCCGACTCCGTGCAGCTGGGAGCTTATTGATTACATTTTTAACAGAAAAAGGTGCATTTTGACAGTTTAAAAGACGAAAAAGTTGACGGACTTGTTCAGATAAATCTAACATGCTAGCTGGGGAAAACGCTGCGTGATTGGTTGAATTGGCTGCTGTGGAGCGCTCTGATTCGCTGAGAAGTGAATGACGTGCCTACGTCATTTCCTCTCACCCCAAAGCTGCTTTGTCATTGGTGGATTCAGTCACGTGACCCGGAAATGAAAACTCGTTTTTCATAGGGAATAAAATCTGCTTTTTAAAGTTCAAAAACGCTTTAAAAGCTGTATTCTGATCAGCTGCTAAGTCTTCGAAGTCTAATTGCTAAAATTTTGCCACGTTTGAGTAAAAAATCCGTTCAGAAATGTTGGTTTTAACCGAGTCTAGCCGATGCTAATTTTAAGCTACCAGCTAACGACCGGATGCCACAGGAAGTCATAGCGACTCCTACTGGATAACACTAACAGTGTCTGAGTTAAAATGAGTAAAGTTATGCTGCCACCTTCTGGAGAGACTTGAGATCACAGGTTTTCACTTCGCTTTTTAGGTTATTTTAGTGAAATTAAACGTATTTTCTTTCTGAAAGGCATTTTTGAGTTAATAAACGTTCCTCAAAACTGAGTAATCACTGTTATCTTGCATTTAAAAAGTTATTAAGGTATTTATGCAGACAGGCATTTACCAGGACATTTTTTCATTCACTGAATTCCTCAAACAGGAGGGACAAAATGAAAAATTAGAAACTTTTTAAAAAGATACAGTTACAGATATTCACAGAGTTGATAAAGTTTACTCATTTGCTAAAAGATAATGCACGTTTAATTGTTAAATCACTAAATAAGAGTAAATATATCAGTAGAGAGAAACTCTTCTGATTTTATTTTACCACCTAAACAATTACATCTCCTATTTAAATTTTTAATAGCGGATGATGGCGAACGAAGAGGTAAACACTGACCTCTTGCACTCCAAAGATGCCGTCCAAACGGCTTTACATATTTTAACAAATTCAATTATTGGTAATCAATTAGGGCAATTAGAAGACCTTGATGACAATCAAAGAGATGAAGTACTGCAAAGTTTGGCAAAAGGAGCTAAAGTGTCAGAGGATACAAAATCGAGCCGTGAACGGTTAGCAAAAATTTCCCTGCTTCTCAAAGCGGAATTGGACCATCAGGTTGCACGAAATGTCATGCTATCCAGAGGATATGAATCTGAAAAGGAGAGGTGTGACGGATTGATGAATGAGTCTGCATTGGAGAAAGAACAATTTCAGATTGATAGGGACCTCTCAAAGACTGAGCTGTCAGTACAGGCTCAATCATATGAGGGGAGGATTAGGGATAGAGACCGTGCGTACCAAGCCGCGTGTTCAGACAACGATGTGCTACAACAGCAGTTGCAGCAAGCATTAAAGGAGCTGGAGGATTGCAAAGCGGAAAAGGCGATATTTCTCCAACAATGTCTGCTTTTACAAAGTGAATGTCAGACATCACAGGAGCGCCTGAAAGCTTGTGAGGAGAATCTAGCCACAGCAACAAACAAGATTTCTGACGTGGGGCGAGCTGGTCTGGGACTCAGGGACGAACAAGGTCAGGGTCCTGGTCAGCCACAACCACCCCAGACAGATGCTGTTACACCTCCTCCTCTTAGCCCCGTTCCAACACCCCCACCTCGG